TATTCCCCCTTCTCCTCATCGTCCCCTTCCCGTCAGAAGCTGCTGAATTTGCAGTAGGTTTAGATTGAGTATGTATTTGCAGGTCGCAGAAAAGCGTTCAAAAAGAACGTAAAAGTAGTGCATTCAAGTTCCGTTGAAATCCCGATTCCTCAAAGTCAGAAGGTTCAATATGGTTTCGGCCATTGTTTGAACGTTGGCGCGTCGTTAGCGTGTCGCGCCACTGGTTCTGGCCCACCGCGCTTCGGCGTGACACGCCAAGCACGGCCCAATGCCCAAGCGTCAACGTCCCGAGCTTTTCTCAGCCCCCCGCCCCGCGAGGCAGAGCGAAACGCTGTCAGCTCGCAGGGCACATAGCGTGGTGCCGTGGCCGATGCCGCGACACGCTAACCTCACCCTTCTCCTCCTCCTCCTCCTCCTCCTGCTCCCCTCACACTGACCATCGGGCCTCGACCTCCCGGATTGCCGGCGGCGCGTTTGCGCCCCCTGCCATCCTTGCCGGACACGTGCCGGAGCGCTCGCGCGGGCAAAAGCGGCTCGGCGATGTCCCCTCGGCTGGAGTCTTTCTTTGTCTTCCATGGTTGCTTCAGTACTTTCGGTGCTTTCACTTGGGCCTCACACGCTGGGTCCGAGTAGACGGTGTTGAAGGCTCGTGCAGCATCGCCGCCGCATTGGCGATGCGGCCTCGATGTATCGCTGACGTCGCCGATGCGTTGGCGATACATCGGCGACGAGGCGCTATCCTCAGACCCCATCCACCTGGACCCCATTTAGAAGGCATTCGCGTAATCCTCCTCATACTCTCTTCTCGCTATCCCGACAGTCGTGTGCTACGATATCATGTCTGTATCCAACCATATTAGTGTCGTCGGATTCCTCGAAGGATCGTAAGATCTGTGCTGCTCTTTTGCTTTGCCCCAGCCCCAGTGCAGCGCTTGACCACGCGTCATCAGAAGAGCCCAGCGCCCCCTGGCTATTACCGAGAGCGTTGATGTTTCGCCGCTTCGCTTCCGCTGCCAAGCCAACCCTCCATGCCAAGCTCCTCATACGTCCAGCGGGCCTGTGTTTCTGGGGTCTGCTTGGCCAGTCTGGCTGCCATTACTGGGCCTGAGAGAAGGATATGGCAAGGCGAGAATCATGGGCGCGGCTGCATTCCTGTCGCAGTAGGGTGACGAGGAGTGAGATGAGGCTGAGGACGGAGACGCAGGAACATCATCCCGACGAGGGGGAGATGCATGTTGAGGAGGAGGAAGAGGATGTGGAGGAGAAGGAGCGACAAGGAAGCGGATTTGGAGAAGGTGGCTTTGGGGGGAGGAAACACAAAGGAGGAGGAAGGGGACGCGCACGAGGGGAAATAACTTCAGGCGATAACGAGGACGAGGAGAGGGAGTCCCCCCCCCGCATGCCCGAGAGCAATGGGGGCGGGGGGGGGGAGGGGTGGGTGGAGCAGCTGCACCAACGACGCTTCGAGTTCCGCTGCAACGTTTGCCAAACGCAGAAGCAGCTGCACGAGGAGGGGGAGAGGAGGCCGAGAAGGCACAGCAGCGGAGCGTAAGGAGAGGCTGTGGAGCGTGTGGGCGCGGAGGCAGGGGAAGGGCGGAGGGAGGCCTTCCCCCCCCCGCGCCCCCTCCCCAGATCATTGGATACAGGTTTCGTTCGTTCTCGATTGGTAGCGACCGATCGGCACTCCAAATCGATCGCGACCGATGACCGATCCCAGAATTGGTCGCGACCAGTCGCCAGCGATCGCGACCGATTTTGAAACAAATCGGTTGCGACCGATTCTGAAGTTTGAAGCAAAATCGTCAGCGACCATTCTCCTCGATCGCGACTGGAAAATTATAGTACCCAATGGTCAGGGTCCCATTCCCCGCCTCTCACTCCCTCTCTCTCTTTGAGAATTGAACGACTTCTGCCGTCCCTCCGCTCGCGCTGGATCGGCCGCGGCGTGCTCAACCGTTCCTCGGAACTCTTTGGATTTACCTTGGCCGAGCCCTGCTTCCCCCTGGCAGACCTTTTGAAGGCAGAGGGCAATGTCCTGATACTTAGTGATTAGTTGCCCATGGTCCGCAACTTCCACCAAGCAGCAGGTTCTCAGGAGTAAGATGAGACTACCATGCTCGATATCTGGGTGCAGTTTTGGGGATCGGCTGGAGTCCCGTCGAGGCCAGGTTGACCAGGTGGAACAGAGCCTCCCCTGACCCAGGCCCAGGTTGCAGGCACGGTGAGCTCCTTTCTGCATCGTGCTGCTGATTTGACCGCAAATGAAGGTGCTGAGAGGGTTAGGTTTGCCCCTGCGCATGTTGCCGCGGTGTCAAATGCGGATCACTAACAGGATACCATGTTGTTACGACTGCTGGCCATCCAGAGGGAAGTGCTTCTCAAGTGATGGTAAGTGCAAGAGACACCAGCTCGCGGGAAGGTTTGTCCGTTGTCCAGAGAACAGCTGGTGCCACGGCTGGAGAGGCCCACAGGCGTCATTTGTTTGTGGTTGGCCACAGCGTGATGGAAAGGTGCCGCCGCGTTTTTCTCGAATAAGGGGTCATTGTCAGAGTGAGGGGGCCGAACGGTTATTCACTGTCCCTGGGTGCGTGGCTCTAGTGGGGATCCGTAGTGAGGGTGTTGCTCGTTGCGTCGTTGTTGTTGTTGATGGTGTTGGTGGTGTCAGTGTTGTTGTTGTTGTTGAACATTATTAATTCTAAAGAATAATTATTGTTGGGACCCCTGGTGCACGGCCCCCCTGCGCCGCCTAGGCCGCAGCTACATTTTCATCATTTTCGTGAGGAAGCCTCAGGTAATTCGATGTGATCAAGATCCGGTTGTTTTGTTCCCCCCCGCTTTCCCTTGCAAAAAACACTATAAAATGACATTTCTTGTTCTAATATAATCAAATTTCAAGAATCCCTTGCAAAAAATAAGGTAAAGTGGACATTCGCGCGCGCAAGACGAAATCCTTCCAAAAGCTTAGTGTTCGGAGCGATTTTAACATAAAAACATCAAAAAACCAATGGTTTTTCAACAAAAAAATGTCAAAATCTCATCCCGCGCGCTCTTGCGGATTCGTAGGAAACCCAACACTTTTTAAACATTTCTGTCAAACGGGCTTTTGCGAGCAACTTTTTCGAACTTCTGCGACAACGGTTGCGCACCTGCCAGGGCCATCATCCCTGTCAAATAATACCATCCGCGCATGTGCCCAGCATGGCACAATTGCACCATGCTGGGCACATGCGCGCCCCGAATAAGTGACCAAGTTCTGTGGGTGTGTACCCCACGCCAGTGTAGTAGCCACGGTCGTCCGCACGCCACGAAGTGAAGTGTCCCAACGTCATAGGGCGGGAAGCTGGGTTTGGGTGGTCGCGAAGAGTCGTTTGGATATTTGGTAGAGCTTGTAATGCCCCCCCACGAAGTGGGGGTATTGCCTGGTGTCGTATGAAAACCCTGGCACTGGGGAGAACACCACGCGTTCGGGTAAAATGATTGTTGTTGTTGTTGTTGTTGTTGAACATTACTTTATTCTAAAGAATAATTATTGTTGGGACCCCTGGTGCGCGGCCCCCTCGCCGCGCCTAGGCCGCAGCCACATTTTCATCATTTTCGTGAGGAAGTCTCAGGCAAAACGTGGGTGTCCGGATCCGGTTGTTTTGTTGTCCCCCGTTTTCCCTTGCAAAAAATAAGCTAAAGTGGACATTTCTTGTTCTAACATAACCAAACTTCAAGAATCCCTTGCAAAAAATAAGGTAAAGTGGACATTCGCGCGCGCAAGACGAAATCCTTCCAAAACCTTAGTTTTCGTAGCGATTTTAACATAAAAACATCAAAAAACCAATGGTTTTTCAAAAAAAAAAATGTCAAAATTTCATCCCGCGCGCTCTTGCGGATTCGTAGGAAACCCAACACTTTTTAATCATTTCTGTCAAACGGGCTTTTGCGAGCAACTTTTTCGAACTTCTGCAACAACGGTTGCGCACCTGCCAGGGCCATCATCCCTGTCAAATAATACCATCCGCGCATGTGCCCAGCATGGCACAATTGCACCATGCTGGGCACATGCGCGCCCCGAATAAGTGACCAAGTTCTGTGGGTGTGTACCCCACGCCAGTGTAGTAGCCACGGTCGTCCGCACGCCACGAAGTGAAGTGTCCCAACGTCATAGGGCGGGAAGCTGGGTTTGGGTGGTCGCGAAGAGTCGTTTGGATATTTGGTAGAGCTTGTAATGCCCCCCCACAAAGTGGGGGTATTGCCCGCCTCCTATGAAAACCCTGGCACTGGTGAGAACGGTGTGTCCCCACGTGCTAGTAATTGTTGTTGTTGTTGTTGCTGTTGCTGTTGTTGTTGTTGTTGCTGATGCAGCTGTTGTTGTTGGTGTTGTTGTTGTGATTGTTGTTGTTGGTGTTGCGGTTGTTGAATGTTTGCTTGTTTGTTTGGTTGTGTGTGTGTGTGTTTGTTTGTGTGTATGTGTGTATGTGTGTTTGTTTGTTGTGTCGAGTGTTGTTTGTTGTGCGTTGTCAATTGTTTGTTGAGTGTTGTTTGTTGTTTGTTGGTTGTTGGTTATTGTTTGTTGTTTGTTGTCGTTGTTCCCCACTGCGACCCACCCCGCGACCCACCCCGCGACCCACCCCGCGATCACCCCGCGACCCACCCCGCGACCCACCCCGCGACCCACCCCGCGACCCACCCCGCGACCCACCCGCGACCCACCCACGACCCGGCCCGCGACCCACCCGCGATCCACCCCGCGATCCACCCCGCGATCCCCCCGCGAAAAAATCGGCGCCTGCGGCGGGCTCAATGCATAATCTCTAAAAGTTTGGCGACTGCGGCGGACTTCTTCAGAGCCTCGCAGGCTGACGACGTCCTCGCCGCCCCCTCACTCTTCTCCGCAACTGTGGGGTGCTACGTATCAGTTGCGGCCCCGTTATCGCACTCCTCTGTCTTTTTCGACCCAGGTTGAAGGGATTTGGAGTTGCGAGGAGGCACCCCCAGGTGCGCCAGAGTTCCGCCTCGTAATCAGCGAGTTCCAGGAGCTGCGGCGTCCAGCGTCACCACCCTCTCTTCGCGCATCTTCCTGAATCGCATATTTTAGAGGTTCAGAGAGGTGCGTTCTGTTGTTCGGATTCCGTAGCCCTTTTGGCTCAAGCCCAGTTGGCTCAAGTTCGCTTCGCTGGCTCAAGCCCCGTGCTTGCGGCCGCAGCGTTCCGATGCCGCGGGCGGCTGACGGGCGTCGCGCTGCCCTCGAGGCGGCCCGCGGCGCGCTCATGGCCACGCACGCAGCCTGCGGGCTGGCGGCCGCTCACTCCCTCGATGGAGTGCGGCTGCTACGTGCGGCCGAGGGCCTCCTCCGCACGGCGACGGCCGTGCTCGGCGCGCCTGAGGCGCTGCCCCCGCCTGCGCCCGACGCCGCCTAGCCTGCGGGCCGCCCTCGGCGGCGCCGACGGCGGCGTGGGCGGGGCGGTGCTGGCGGCCTTGCTGGACATGCCGAGCGCGGAGGCGACGACGCGATTGAGGTCGAGAAGGTGGAGGCGTCGGGAGCTGAGCTGGGGAGGGCTGCTCCCGCTCCGTTGGCGCTGGCGGCTGTGCGAGGGGGCTCGCAGGACGAGGGCCACGCGGCTCCGTCCTCGCCCCTGGTTGACGACAGCTGGGCCGACGAGCTCCCTGTTCAGCGTTGCGGCCCCCTCCACGGAGCTGGTGCTGCCGCCGCTGACGGCCTCCCAGCGCGCCATGCGGCGCCCGCCGCGGTGGCGGCGCGCCCTGCTGTGGCGGTTCCTGGTGGAGCTGCTAGCGCTGGGGCTGCAGCTGCTGCCCCTCCCGACGGCCGCGGCATGGTCGACGCGGAGGGCGCCGAGCGGCGGCGGGCGCTGATGGCGCGTGCGGCGGCGATCGGCCGTGGCGCGGGGTGATCGTCGTCGCGTCCGTGTTCATGTTCCTGGTGGTCCTCCTCTCGGTGCTGTTCACGGCCGGGATGTGGTGCAGGGTTCGTTGTGCGTGCGTCCGTCGTGCACGCGTCTCAGGCACCCCATTCCTGGGGGAAGGTGCATGCACACCTAGGGTGCGCTCTGCGTCTCCGAACACGGGGGTATCTTTATCCTGACTGTGGCTCGTCTGATGTTGCTGCGGCCTGGAGCTTTGGTTCCTGGCCCCAACATCTTTTTGTTAGGCGTCGGGTGCGCGTCTTCGTGTGCGCGTTCGTTGCACGCTTCCTTCTTGCCCCCCACCGCATGGTGCCACTGGCGCGTGGGAGGGGCGCTGTCTTGTTCGCTGTCCCTCTTGTTCAGCCGAGGGCAGTCGGCACGAGAGAGCCTTCCAGTTGCAGTGCTCTGCAGTTGGTTGTTTTTTTGCGCTGTCAGCTCTGTGCCCTCCTGTGGCCCAGTGCGCCTGCCCCCTCTCGTAGAGATGTTGTGGCAGGTGCGCGTTGAGCTTGGGCACTTGGACGCAGTGGTCCTCTCGACCTCTCGTCGTGCTGTTTTTTTTGCGCGGTGACCCAGGTGTTTGCCTTGGTCAAGGTGCCAGCATCCCCCTCCGCTGCTGGCACGTTTCCTTGGTCAGTCCAAGGTTTTGGAGGCGTGGCGTTGATGTAAAAAAAAAGTTCTGTTGTTCGGATTGTGGCGCGTCGGACGACTTGCGTAATCTCGGGCTTGGAATGTGCTCGCAGGGCCCGACAAGACGAGAGCAAGGTTCCCCCATCGGCGAAGGCTCGTGAAGCCGTGGCACGTTTCGTTCGAGGATTGTTCCGAAGTCGGGAATGGCCGGATCTGAACGTCATTCATGTTGTTCATGCTCTACCCCCCCCCTCTTGGAGGGCGCGGCCCGCGCCCATGACAGAGTTGCATCAGTCTCCCCTCCGACGCCGCGTTTGCGTCGCAACGTGGACCACCGGAGGTCTCGGCCCACTCGCCGGCGGCCGGCGCCAGCTTTCCGTCCCGAGTCGTTGCTTTCGCCATGGGGGAAATTGGTCCTGAGGGAAACGGCTCTCGAGGTGTTGCGCCGTCCTCGGGGGCTCGGGGCCCTCCGCAAGCCCCCGGCGTGTCAGAAGGAACAAACTCGGGATGAAGATCTCGTCCAGGGAGAAGGCCCCCAGGGCCCAGGGCCCGTCTCCCCCCGCGGCGCGACGTCTCCTGGGGCCCAGCGAGGGCCCCAGGGGTCTGGGCCTGGGGGCCAAAGAAGTCGACCCCAGGCCCCCGTCCTGGGGCGGGCTCGGACCGGAACTCGGAGGCGCGAAGCCAGCCGCGGCGACGGGCCTCCCCCCCCCAGAGGCCCAACAAAAGCCTCGAGACCTCGCGTTCGAAGCCTTCGAGGCTCGTCGCCTTGTCCTGCGGCCCCAGGCCCGCCCGCGGCGACGGCGGCGCAAACGGAGGGAGAAGGGAGGGGGGAGGACAGGGGGAGGAGGAGGAGGAGGAGGAGGAGGAGGAGGAGGAGGAGGAGGAGGAGGAGGAGGAGGAGGAGGAGGAGGAGGAGGAGGGAGGAGGAGGAGGAGGAGGGGGGAGGAGGGGGAGGAGGAGGAGGAGGAGGAGGAGGAAGGAGGAGGAGGAGGAGGAGGAGGAGGGGGAGGAGGAGGAGGAGGACGACGGCCGCGGCGGCGGCACGGCCGGACGACGCCGCTGGCGGCGGCCTCCCCGCTCGCCGGGAGGCCGCCGCGCGCCGGGGCGTTCGGGCCGCCGTCGGCGCCCGCGGCCGCGCGCAGGGCCGCGGCGCGGAGAGAAAGGTCGGCCACGCGCAGGAGGGGGGCGTCCGGAGTAGCGCCCCAGACAGGATCGCGTCGTAAGAACATCAGGACGGCGAGTGATGCCTCCTTTCTGGGCCCCTGCGGGGCCCTCGCCGGGCCCCGGGACCGTCAAAAAGCGACTCAGGATGAGAAACCCCGAAATGTTTTGCACACATTTGCGCCCCGAAATGTCTTGCAAACCCCACATGTATTGCAACCCCGCAAATCGATCGCACCATCCCCTTTTCGCTGGACCCCCTGTCGGGTCAACCGCTTTGCCCAGGTCGTGGCCATCAAGACGCGACTGTTTACGCAAACGTTGCTCAGAGGAGGGCCACGACTTGGAGGAGCTGTCTTCGTTGCGCCATCGGGGGCAAAGTTGGTACTTGATCGTCGGCCCGTGGCATTTCCCGACACATTCCAGCAGCTGCTCCTCGCCGCGAGGGCGTTTCGGGGGTGCCAAGCTCAGGCTCGTCCCGAGCGGCCGCCGGAGACCCGAACTGTGACCCGAGAGCTGGGACCAGTCGCCGCTAAGGCAGATGGGCAAGTTTAGACCACGGTAGTTTTGAATCAGGCATGTCTCTCTGCAGGGAGAATATTCAAACACAGGCAAGACATAGTTTGGGGACCATGTTTCAATGTTTGACACTTTTTTGATTTTTGATTCTTCAGAATTGTCTTCCAAAGTCCGCCTGTAGGAGGACATGCCCGACCTGCCAGTAGTTGACCTTCGGCGGGCCCCCTCGTCGCCACGGCTGGACGCACCGCGGACATCTGGTGCGTGTGGACCTGGGAAGTTGCCGCTTTGTCAGCTCGCATTGCCCCGAGTTTCGCCCTAGGGGCAACGTTCGCAGGACTAGCGGTTGACACCAACACCAATATCGGCGGTGTGCCTCCACCAAGGGAAGAAGATTTTGATCTCGGTGATGGTTGTTATATTCTGGCTTCCAAGGTGACCGAAATGGTACACGAACGCCGACATCTAGGATCATCCTCCACCTGTGGATGCAAACCCCTTGTGTTGGTACTGTTGCCCCTACTCCAGACCTCCAGTTTTTTTCCCAACCATCCTGTGGTGTTGGGTATTCGTTTTGAAGAGGCGTCGCGCTGCGTTCCTCTCCTCCTCTCCTCCTCCTCCTCCTCCTCCTCCTCCTCCTCCCCCTTCCTCTCTCCTTCTGTCATCATCATCGCCATCATCATCATCGTCATCACCATCATCACCATCAGCGTCATCATCATCATCATCATCGTCATCATCATCATCATCATCGTCATCATCATCATCATCATCATCGTCATCATCATCATGATGATGATGATCATCATCATCATCATCATCATCATGACCGTCATCATCACCAGCATCATCACACATTTCGGCAAACCCCTCACACGTTTCGTGGCCCCATATGGGGCTCCACCGAAAGCCCCAGTGCCACCGCCCGCATGCGTCCCCCCCCACACACA